CCCCAAAACCCCAAAACCCCAAAACCCCTTAACTACAGGATAATGATTTCAAATTATATTAGTAAATTTAAAAATGAAAAACTTGATCATATTTATTTCACTTTTGGCACTGGGGTATTGTGATGATGTGATAGATCTCTCAAAATATGAGAAAATTTCAGAAAATTTCACTTGTGGAACATCAAATACTTCATCAGCCTCTTATACAATTGTGAACTATTTTTCCTAATTTTTATAGAAAGATTAAGCAATCGTATGCATTGTATTAGCAGATTAGAAATCTCCTAGAAAGGTAGTCTTTAACCCAAGAATTGATAATTTTGAGTTACTCTAAGTTCAAGGATTCTTTGATGTTAGCGCAAATTTGACCGATGGAGATTTCAGACTTTTTGCCATGTCTAATGGTATCAAGAGTAGACCAATTGTAATTTTTTGCAATCTATTTCATTATATTCATAGTTATACAAGAGAAATGATAAAGTTGCTCAGATATTAAATTTGAGGATATCAATGGACGATGGGTTTGTTGAAAAAATAGAGTGGATTAATGTCTGTGACTCTCTGGCTTGTGAAGAGAATGTTTGTATAGATACAGAGGATAATTGGAGGAATGAAACTTTTAAGGATAGTGTAAGTTAAATTCTTAGTCATTATGACTAATTGAATATATTTCAAAATTCATTAACATAATTTCATATTTAGAATTGTTTCCTTTATGGATGTACCAGTTCAGCGAACTCAGATTGTGATACCAAGATTTACCTGACTTGGATTGGAACAGACAGAGAGGGAAGAGTTTTTACAAGCGACAATTATAGAGTTTCAAATTTCATGGATTACTCACTTAATACATTACTAAGCAGTGCCTAAGGAATAGGTTCTGGAATCTACAAAAAGGTTTTTGGCTGATTAATAAAAGATTGTTGAGTTTTTCTTGATAAAGGAATTTTTGATAGTAATAATGATTAATAGATAATACTAAATTTAATTAACTAAATAAATAATTACAATATAATTATATATCAAATATGTACTTGAGATATTACCTTAACGAGAAGAAAGAAAGAGTCTATACTTTCAGTGTAATCACCACCTTATATTATAATCCTTCAATATTAGTTCTATGATCCAAGCAACAACCCAACTATCAGTGCCCATCCAGGTAAGAACTTCTATTGAGTATTAATAAATATTAGCAAGATTTTCTCCTGATGATCCATTCTCTGAGCAAAGAATGAAATGCAAGGAAAGATTTAACCTATTAATCACTCAAAAGCCTCCTATTCAACTCTGAGCACAGGCCAAATAAAATCATATTGCATTTTTGTATATCCTTAATCTAATTAAGAAGAAAACGTTCACAATTATTGATTATTGTCATTTTCCTCATTTAATGAGGTTTGGGGTTTTGGGGTTTTGGGGTTTTGGGGTTTTGGGG